GTGATTTTATAGAAATATTTTCTCGTAATATATCATAAATATGGCTACTGCCTTTATTTTTCTCAAACAGTAGTTCTAAATGAAACGGGACAAAAGGGCGACATATAGTTGTAGTAGGACCTTCTATATTAATCGTATTCATATATGATTTCATTGCTTTTATTAAAGAGATGTATTCTAAAAAATTTGTTTGTAAACTAGGATATTTATGTTGGAACTCATTAAAATTTACAAAATCTCCATCTTCATTCCAGAGAACGGAGATAAAAATAATATTATGGTTAAAATATCTGGAGTAAAACATAGATTTATTATCAAGTTTTATAGAATGATTTCGCCAAATTACTCTTTTACCAAAATTTGCTTTGTCTTTCGGCTTATTTTTTTCGTTAATTTGAATCCAACATTTTAAGACATCTTTCCAGAAATGATTTTTAATATCTTCCACGTTCGGTTCTATATACGAATTGCCAAGTACTGTTATGAGATCACGTTTAAGACCAGTACTACATTCAAATAATACCCACTTACTCTCTGACGTAACAAGTCGTTTTATCCAAGTTGATTTTAACCAAATTACAAATTTACCTAAATCTACCATGTTCAAACCACCTTCTTCATAAGATTGTTTAATAGATTTTCTACTAATTTTATCGGGTTTGTCATTCCAGATGAATTTGAAAAATTTTGTATTGAGTGATTTTATAAAGGATGTGTCTACATCTGGAAGCGAAATAAACAGATGAGTTAATTTTGGAATAATCAAAGACTTCAGAACAGTAATTTTTCCTAAAGGAGTTAGATAGCGGACTGACCATTGATTTATAAGTGAATTTAGAGAATCTAAATTTGAATCGTAATTTATAGCTGATAATTTATTTAAACCTGTAGTAAATCTAAAACTTAAAAAATCAAAATTGTAGTAACATAGTAACGTACCTTTAGTTCAGATTGTTATGAGTGTATTTTATTCTCTTTTCAGAATATCATTTTCTACATCATTGTAAGTAGTAATAGTAAGCGAGTGATTATAGGTACCACACGCTGATTGGCTGAGACGTACCACGTGACTAAATATGACGTAGTAGGGGCATGTCTTCAGGGACTTTAGTTGCTAGGGATATGACGTCATTGGGAAAACCCCGGGAAATTCCTTGATGACGTCATTTTGTCCTCATTTTGGGAAAGTAGTAATAAGCGAGTGATTATGGGTACCAGACGCTGATTACAGGTAAATACTTTAATAGGCCTGTCATCCACTTCCAATATTTGGACAACAATGATTGGTTCGGTTGCCATGTTGCAAATGACTGGCCAAAGACAAGTGACTGCGCTTTTTATAGGCGGGAAACTGGAAAAAGGGCTTTGGATTGGATAAAAAAGATCACGTGGTATTTATTTTTTAAACTTTAATTAATTCAACTTAAATCCATTAACTCTAACATATTGTCATTCATAAATCCTAAACATGTTTCGCCATCTTCAAAAGACAAACAAGGAAAATGGTGATGGGCCCAAGCATGGACTAAACGATCGTTTTCGGTCAGATTAGATTGGAACACCGATAAAGCATGGGGTGACGGTACGTGGAATTTATGCCACAAGTAAAAGAAACAATAATGCCCGCAGACAGCACTTTGATTTCCTTGAATCCTCCGGGTATTGTGACGTAAGGGTCCTTGACGCCGCGCAAAGTCGGCAAAATCTTGGCCATACACTTCTGGGGAACATCCAAACGAGTCGAAGAAATCACAATGGTCTTTTTCGCATACAAAAACTGTCCAATGTTTTCCAGGCTGGCCTGCGTCGTCGGA